GAGGACTTCCAGCGTCTTTTCACCGGATGCTGTCTAGGGACAAAGAGCCACGTCCTCAGCCCTCAACCCAAAGTCTCAATCCCTCGGCAGCTGTAAGAGCTGCAGCCCCGCTCGCAGATTTCCTTGCACCTCCCGAAACCAATGTAGATATCGACCGGTGCAACACTTGTAGGTGAACAGCAACGCTAGGTCACTAGGCACAACACATCGTAACGAGCAATCATCGGCCCCAACAGCAGCAATCATAAACAAATACGAATTAAATCTTGAAGAGTGACATCAAAGACTCCCCTTTGCTCTTCCCCGGAAGCCTCGGAGCTGTTGATGAGCTGAGCTTCAAGGCCCTGGCGGCTGTGCCTTTCTGAGGCCACAATTGAGTGGTCACTGCACCCGGAGAGTGCAGTTCAGGGTTTGGGGGTTTCAGACCGGGGTTCATGAACGGCTGGTGATAAGCTGAATGATTTACGACTGAGGCACTTGCCGGCTGGCGATTCAGCGTTGAGACAGCAAGAATTGGACAACCAGCGGGTACTCAAGATCTTGCATTCCGCTTGGGTTCTTGGATTCTGGATCGGTGGAAACGTTTGGAACCCCCATGTAGTTCGGATTCGAGGCTTTTCTGTTGTTTTCGGTGGGTGCTGGCTTCGGGTTTAAGGTCGGCCGAACGCGAAGATGAGCGGAATCTGTATGCATGTATGTGAGTCTATGCGTACAGTGTGCATATACAGACCCATGTATAAACGAACAATCAAAAGTCAGAGACCGGCATGGGTTGCATCACGTGCAGGGTGCGGTCAGGGTTCTCGATCTCTTCGAGTAACACCGCTTCCAGCGCTCCACGCTCCTGGCTGACAAGAGCTCTGACATCGATTGCTCTTCAAGCCTTCTTCGAAGCATGCTTTGACGAGAAGGGGGGACAAACCCTTACCTGGGGCTGCGGTGTCGTAGCCACCGCGGATGTTACCGAATGTTGGTCTATAGTGCGTTCATCGCATCAAGCCGTCCAAAACGACTGGGGTCCTGGATGCTTGTTGCGACGATGGCCTGTTGGCCAGCCCCTGCCGCCGAGAGATCAGCCGGCACCTTCAAGGCTTTTGACTGCGGCTCAGGCTGTTGAGGCTGCTTTAACCCTCTGGAAGCCACCTTGTAGAGACCTCTACCGTGAAGCCAAGACTCCCATGCTGCCTCTGCATGAGGCTGTGTGTGCTCTAAAGATTCAAATGAGAACTCGACCAAGTACCAATAAGCCCCTTGCAACCCGTACACGAGGACCTTTGCCAGATGCATCCTCGGATTTAGAGCAACCCCCCCCCCCCCCCGAAAAAAAAACAACCTCGGAAGGAATGTTTAATGATAGGTTTGGGTATCACCCAGAGTGATGATGCTACTGCTGCTACTGGTCATAATGAAGGTTTTTGCAATAGCACCTCTCAGAACAGCATTTGGCAATCCACGAGAACAAAGTTTGGAACACGGCACCTGAAGCTGCAGCTGCAGTAGGAGCTGCCCAGCAAGCCAGCGAGCTGGAGCTGGTGCTCCCTGGGAGACAGCTGAGGATGATCCAGGGCTCATTCATGCAGGGTTGGCAAAGGCCCAAAGAATGTTTCTTTTCGCATGAAGCAACAAGCATCTTTTTGCACCACGATCCAGACCGCTTCCCTGTCATGGAGCTATGAGGAGAATCCAGGGGAGACCTGCTGAGAAGGGCAGCAGGTGGACAAGTGGACACTCAAAAAATCTGCCTGTGTCAATATTCTAAAAAGATGAATCGGCCCTACCTACAAGTCCTGACTCGGCTTGACTTCCTAGGTCCTTTCATCCTGTGAGTGCGGACTTCTGAACAATCTGAGGAAAACACTATGGGCCTGAGCAGCATGAAGTCCAGTGCTAAACGCCCAAACCTTCTTGCCAAAGAGCGCACCCAGGGGGTGGTAGTACGACATGCTGCAAATAGATGACAAGAAACATTGTGGTAGTTGCTGACGAAGCAAAGTTTCGTCGGGGCCGAAGCTTCTGAGATGAGGCTCGATCGGCTCTGCGGGCACTCTTAGAACTCTCGGACAGCTTCTTCCACGGACGAGGGCAGACTCTTGACTTCAACAAGTTCGCTTTTGCTTCAGCAATTGAAGTTGTTTGCAACACGAGTCTTGGAAGGGCACTAGTCAAGAACGATCCCTGGTCGCACCTGCGCCACCGCCGGCAAGGCCGGTCGCAGCGACTGTAGCCTCTGTTACTAGCAGATCTTTCGACCGAGCAAGAGACACAACACTTTTATCCCCGGAACCATCTTCCTGAATTCTATGTGCATTGTTTGGCATTGCCTGTGGACGTTGGCAGCACCTTTCGTGGACAAAGCAAAATGGCAAATTGTCTATCTTGGATTGCGGTCGAAAACTTGCCTGTGCTGTTGGTAAACCGCATCTTCAAATCTTACGTGTATCCCAGTGCACTCCTCGAATCTGAGCTTGTGCCTCGAAGCCCCCAACTCGAGAGACTCCAAAATCGTGTGCACCGATGGAGTCGCCGCTGGTTTCCTGAACACCTCTTAAGCCCATCCGAGCACAGCCTAAGCGGTGAGGCAAAACGAAAAAGGCCAAGAAAGCCATGAAATCCCCCAAAATCTCCGGCTTATGTAACGCCAATTCTTGCAAAATTCCCGGACTTGGATTCCGGAACATCCCACTGCTGGGCAGGCGGGCTGGTGCTGGTGTGGCCAGTAATAGTAATAGTCACTTGTACAGTCTATACTTGCTCTTGTTCTGGTTGCTGCTTGTCAGCATCGCTAAAAAAACCCTATACCGCTTGAAAGCCTAAATGTCAAAAGCCAAAACCCCCAAGAGTCCTAAAACTACATGTGGCATGCACCCGATTCAGATGCCTCGATGGCTCTGGGCGCATGGTAAGCAAGGCCCACAGTGCGAAGCAGCAGCCAGCCCAGAGGGGGCTCTCCTGTTTAAAGCGGCTACTTGGGCTGCGTGGGAGGGCTTGGTTAGTGGGGATGCAAGTGGGTATAACGTAGCTGCTTTGGTTAACACTTCACGCGTTCAGGCCTAGGTGCCTTGTCCAGTTTGTTTTGGGCTGCTTTGGTGATTGCTGCAGCTCTTTCGAGAGTTTGTACAGAGCTCCTGCGAAGTCCAATCCTGTTTGGTGATCGTCATGGTCATCACCATCATCCAGCTTTTACGTCCTGCAGCAAGCAAGTAGTTACCAAACCCTTGTCGTGACCTCCCCCGGCAGGCCGTCGTGGTGGCGCCAGGGCGCCTCTACACAGAGCCTTGGATGGTTCGTGGGCATACCTCTTCGACTCTTGGAAGAGAATGCCGGGCTGCAGGTGCGAAGGCTGTGCAGGTGAAGGCGTCTTAGGGTCAAATCCTGGCAATTGCATTGGGGGGTTCCAGCATGCAACGCCTCCGGAGTTCGCACTTGAAGGCACGCCTTCTCCTTTTTAAGGCTTCTGCCAGGCTGGACATGGTTCAAAGATGGGTCTTCGAAGCTCGACAGGCTCAGGGTTGCACTTCTCCGGGTTTGGGGTTCCGACTCATCTCGCCGCTTCACGGCCCAGTTCACTCGAACCTGTACTTGTGATTCCGAACACGATCTCGCAGATTACAGATTTGTTGAAGTTATCTGACATACACACACACACACACTCGCAGCTCGCAGCGAGAGCCAATCAAAAAATAAGCCGATGCTAGACCGACTGTGCATCCCTACATCCCTCTGATCCCACCAGGATCCGAAAGGAATCGTCCGAGTTGCTGATTCCCCAAGCCTCACTACTGTGCACCTCATACCATCTCACATATATGTTTGAAAACGCACATGTTTGGTCAAAACTCTCTGGTCTGCGATATCTGACAGGCCCCTGGCAGCATGCATCGCAACACGCCGCGCAGAAACCACTGTGATCTTGAGCCCTGTGCCGTCAAGAAAACTGCAAGTAAGGATGCTCTGCAGCCAAGAGTACACAATTCGGCCGAACCGGTCTGGGGATTGACCGAGGCCTACGTGCACAACAACCGCGAGCTCCACAGAGTCATGCAGGAAAAGGCATAATGATCCGGGCAAGGCTTGCTTCCGCAGTTTGAGAGGGCTCTATCGGATCAATTGAACTCTGCCCAAAAATGCAGTTTCCATTTCTATGACCGCAACGTCGCTGAGTGCAACGTAGAAAGCCACTGAGTCTCAACACCTAAATTCGCCATGCCTGCCATCGAAAGGGCGGTTCACGCCGAAACCGGAAGGCTACATGCATCACGCAAAAGGGCGTCCGGCTAAAGTTCCCGCTCCTAGAGCCTTCGGGACCATGCTCTGGCTTCCGGAAAGTGGGCAGTCGGAGTCGAGGGCGCAATCCAAGAATAACACTTCATTATCCCATCATCCCAGTAGTAACCCGCCCCCCCAATCAACGATAATGAGCAGAGCTTCAGAAGTGTTCCCGGCGAAGGCCTTGCACGAAACTGCGCAGTTCAGCATCTTGGGGGCGCTCCTGTATCTCGGAGTTGGGTTTTGGGGCTTCGGGTGTCAGGGCTCGGAGTTTCTTCCGCAACCAAATCCGGGGCCGCATGGCGAAAGCCGCAACCCCCTGCTATCCGTCCTCCGCCAGCCAGCAAGGTGAGGAAGCCACCATCTCCTACAAGGTTTAATCTTTGTGAAGGCTCCGGCTCCAGGTGGGCTGCACAGGCTTCTTGGTCTAATGGGCTCCGGCCTGAAGGACAAAGGGTCAGGCTTCCAGATGCTACTTCTTAGTGTCAAGGCAAGAAAGACTGTTCTGAAGTCTCGAGTCTCCGAGCCCTGGACAACCCGACTCTTCGGGATGCGCATTTCTGCTTCATCCCAGCAGGGCAAACCGAGGCAGAAGAAAAAGTAACACGTCTGCCCAGTGCCTTCGCGGGGGTCGTTCGCTAACATTGCGGGTTTATCAGAGCAAGTGTGATAAACCCACAAGCCAGCAAACGTTTGACCTCTAAGCCACGGCCACTCTACTCCCAGACGAAGGCCTCTGCCAGCTGGGTGACACCGGCAGCCGCCTTGCCAATGCAGGGCCGCGCAAGGGACACAGGGAGCCAGGGCTTTGGGCTTTGGAGGTTGGGTCGCGTGGTCTTTGGGCCTTTGAATTCTTAAGCCCACTACTTGGTGCCTGCTCCTCGCGCCCAGCCAATTGTCGGTTCGCCAGCGCGCAGGCCAACAGCAATCCTGATGCCGGTAGCTTCGCTTCAGCAGTTAAAACATTCAGTGGAGAGCGAGTACGAACCCCCCTGTTTCGACAAACTGTCTTTTTGACTGCCAGTATTATCTTGTCGTAAATGTTTCTTGCGCGCTGCTTCTTCTACCATTTACTACTACTACTACTACTACTACCACCACTACCACTACCACTACCACTACTACCGGTTCATGCTTGCTTGTTTGGTTGCTGGAGGAGGCAGGCCAGCAGGACGGCTCGGGAACCCCCATCCACCTAGCAACCCCGAGTCCTAAACGCCCAGAACCCCACACGCCCCCGAAGCCTCGAAGCTAATGCACAATAGGACGGTCCCGAGAAAGCCGCCTGCACACACGCGCGCACCCTTCGAGGGGCAGTCGAAGAGCGCCGACAGGAGTCCCAGGGCCTGACAGTCGTGAGCGCGCCCAAGACAACGGTAAAAAAACAAATTTCCAAGCTCCGTAATTAGCCCTAGCGTATCTTAGACGAGTGATTGTCTTGCAGTGTGCAGTACACACTTACGGACTAATTAACGTATATTCTACAAGGCTGCCGAGGGTTCAAAGCTGTCGGAGTTCGGATCCAGTGTTGCCCTGACAGTCCGTGAGCTAAGTCGCGCAATTTGTTAAAAGATTGGGAAGGATGTTGGGGCGGCATTGGAGATTTTGGGAGACTTTCCACATCAAAACCAAGCTGGGTTTGTAGCTTGATCCGGAATGTCTAAGCGACCCTTGCACCAGACAGGAGTTTGTCCTGCCCTAACAGTTCTCAAGCATGAAGCGGCTGCGACAGCCATCGCAGCATATGCCGCGACATCAAATTTGTCAAGCAATCGGCCCATGCGCTTCGAGCCACATCCAGGATCTAATCGGATGCTCCCGGCTCCGCCATACCACCTGCACCATACGGCAACCCCCGAAAGCCAACGCAAAAAAACCCGCGACCTTCCAGATGTTTATACATGCCCGGGACAGAACCTCGCGGCTCTGCTCCTCGGCCAGAAAGACTTGCTGGACCTCCGGAAGTGCTCCGAGATGATCAGTCAGAAAGTCTGGGGGAGTGGCTTAGAGGAGGGGAATGCCTTCGAGCTTCGAGCACACCTTTGAAGGCACGTGCTGGCGAAACCGTGCAGCCCTGAACGCCTGGGAAGACGCCGGCCTCCCATCTCAGAAACGGACATGACCGATGCCTGAAGATCCCAGGCGAGCCAGAGCAGCTTCGAGACGAACTCAGCAAAGCCTTGGGGTTCAGGGCTTGGGGTGTCTGATCGTTTCGGGTGCTTTGGAAAGTCCTGGGGTTTATGCTTTAAGCGGCTATAGCAATTTGTGGAATATTCCACGTGCTTGACTCCGTCAGGGAAGCTGGACTGGAACATGAGAACATGTGGGATTGGATACTTTAGCTGTGCACTGGTGAACGCATGACATATAAAGATTCCACCCAAGCAAGGAACCCTCGTGTCGTGGAGTCATTGCCACCGAAGGCCCTGTGCAACAGAACCTGCATGTATGTGCGAAACTCCCAACTGCGCCAAGGGCGAAGTTCCCAAAGGAGGGATTCAAGAAGGGGACTGCCTGGACTCACGCGGTTCCAGAACAGACTGACTGACCAATGAAAACGACGCGCTCATCACACGACATGCGCGGTTCATGCTTTGCGATACTGTACCTGCCTCCACCCTCCGTCTCGTTCTTGCTGCTGGTTCTTTGCATTTCTAGATCGTTCTTTGTCGGCCTCGCCACACAAACCTTTTGGATGCCGCTAGCACGGCACTGCAGACCCCCGAGCTGCAGGGCTGGTAAACGCAAGTGCACTTTGGAAAACAGGTTAAGATTGTTGGGTCGGAGCTTCATTGCAACCAGTGTTCAGGGCAGCACAAACTAGCACAAGCTCGACTCTGTTGAAAAACAAGTCTAGCCGACCGACTTACAACATGCACAGACAGAGGCATGGTGTTTGGCTGCCAACAACATGTGCGATGGGATCGCCGTCGTCCGAGGCATTCTAAACCCCCTATCCGCCATGGCGGGTTCCAATCATAGCTGCAGGGGCCATCTGGCCCGACGAACATTCGCGCTCCAGGGGCGGGCAGGGGCGGGCAGGCGGGCGGGGGAATTGAAGACTTTTGCTGCGACCACCAACTCCACTGCAGAAGAACCTGAATCAAGGTGCAACTCAGCGAGCTGAACACACCAGTGCACACAGATGCTTAGGGTTCGTGGCTTGCGCTGGCCATTAGCCCTACCTACCCCAGCGCAGAACTACCAACCCCAACCGACAGACTCACAGCTTGCACAGACACAGACATGGCGTTGGCTGCACGCCGTGTGATGGGATCGCTTCTCGCGAGGCATTCTAGCCGCTCTAGCCCCACGTGTAGAAGCAGCCAAACACCTTTCGGTAGCACAAACACCACACCACCCTTGAGCGCAAACGACAGTGTAAGCACATAATTCCAACGACTCCGTCAAGACGAAAAGGCCACGTGTCATGCTCTGCGTTTGGCAACATCACGCTGCCAAGGCGAGGCCCACGATCAGTAGCCGTGGATACGGTGTCAACCTGGGGGCTGGGGCTTCTGGCACTGCAGCAGACGGCAGAGCGATATTGCGACAAAACTACGGTGGCACGGTGTCGCGCCGTAGTTCTGTCTATGGGATCCAAGAACAGAGCGCTCTGTGACAAGTCTGCGGCCAATGCCAGCGTCAGCACGACCCAACTTCACGCCAGCCAGGCCCTCTTGCTCGTTCGCTGAAGTTGCCAGTCTTACAGCCAGTAGTAAATAAGAGGCTCTGACATCCGGCCGAGGCAGAAGCTGGACTTTGCTGCAAAAATCCACATGCTATGCAAAGTAGGCCCTGCAACAGAAGGACTGGGAGTGGGCCTGGTAGCCGCTGCGGCCGTACACTTCTGCACCGGTGGACGCACAAAGAAGCAAGAATAACACTGCCGCGCCCTGTTTTGGCCCGCAGCAGGTGGTGACGCAATCAATCACGACGCGCATGCATTAATCTTCGCGGCGTATTCTGTGCAGCAGCAAACTCATGAAACTCAAACCACAGAATGGATGCTTCGCCCACGGCAGCTCGTACCAGGCGCACCTCCGATAAAGACAACGATGTCGAACACCCCTGATCCTACAACCAGGAACCCTCCAACCCCAATCTCGATGCTTTGGAGCCGCTCTGTTGTTGCAGCAGTGTTGTGCCAGCGCGCAAAGCGGCCAGGCCTGTCAATTTGATGTGTAGGCGCTCTATTGCTATTTGCAGTCTCAATGATGTTGCCAGTCTGTCCTTGTGCGGCTGCTGGTCATTATCGTCACATATGCTCTTGAGCAATGCCAGCACTAATAGCTAACAAGTTGTCCTGTTGCTCTTAAATTTTGCCACTTCTGTATAACCCTGCCAGGCTGGACAACTGGGTGCGGTCCCGGGACTTGGACATGGGGCATACAATTAGTACTTAGGAACTCTGTCCGGAAAACTCACGTATTGCTTCACCGATGACAACGACGAGGACTACTACTAGTGACTAGTGCTACTTGCTACGATCACTGTTAACACCGCCGCCGCCACCACCACCACCACCACCACCACCCCACTACCAGCACCAGCACCAGCAGCGGCAGCAGCAGCAGCAGCAGCAGCAGCAGCAGCACCAGCACCAGCACCAGCACCTGTCTACCAACTTCTGCCTCTACCAGACGAGCACTTTCGCGCGTGGGATGACAAGATTTGGGTCAAAAACAGGGGCTCCTCCGGTCTCGAGGAAGCCGGCGAAGACGGACACGAACTTGTCCTCTGCCCACTTGACTTCAGGATGCACAAGATGGCATCTGGTGGCCGTCGTCGCCGTGGCATTAGAAAAGGTAGCAGTCGTCGTCGTCGTCGTCGTCGTCGCGGCAGCAGGTTGTTAGGAGGCAACGGCAACCGCGCGGCGCAGGCAACAAGATTTTACGAGGTTAGTAAGGGCGAGCGAAGGCATAAGCCAACAACTCCCACCAAGCTACATAGGACGTGACACACTACGACAATGACAAGCTCCACATGTTGCTTGTGGTCAGTGTAGAACAAGAATGGGAATCCCTCTGAGAGCTCGCAAAGAAGAAACTCATCTCCAGAACACTTGGATGACAGGTCTCCCCCTCGTTCTTGATCAGCGCATTGAGGACGCCTGCGCAGGTGCACAGATCCGCACAGAAGTACTAACAGCTGTCTCTTGGGACTTGATAGAAGCAATCAGAAGCAGAAGAATCGTCTTGCTATTCTCTGCCTAAACGGCTTTCCTGTGAAGAACTCCGGCAGAATCACTGCAAGTATCTGCAGAGAGGAATGCAAGATGTCCGATTGAATCCAGAAAGCAGCAAGGCCCATGAAAATGCCTCACTTCCCCTGTGAGTGCAGAGGCCTCGTGCGCGTGGATCTGGTCCATTGGCAGGTTCCTTTCTTTTGTTTGTACTTCGGAGGGCCCCAGGATGAATGAAGGCTCCGGGCCGAGACCCCTTGTGAGGAACATGCACATCATGCACAAAGAGCCTAGCAAGTGCCGGTCATCTCAGGTTTTCTAGGTAGACTCTCGCGCTCCTATCTAACACGCCTTTCGAAGGCTATGTCGGCTATGTTTCTGGACTTTGCGTGTCGGGCCCCCTCCTGTGCCATGGGCCCTCAGTCTTAGCAAGCGCAGCTATGTTTGAGCGAGGCTGACGAGTCTCTTTCATTCCTTTCCGGAAGATGAATCCCAACAGCACGGCCAGGCCCTTCTCTTGGAGAAAGAACCTCAGACAGCCCATGTCTTTGGCCCACGGCTTCGGTGATTTCGAGAGGTCTGGGAAGCGCTAGGTCCGCCAGGTCAGGGCATGGCAACAAGCTTCCAACAAAGCAGACACAGCGATCGAAGACGCGGGCCCTCATCCCGTCTGTGCTTGAAATCCTGGCTCTGGTTGCATGGGGGTCATTGGTTCCGAACCTCAGTCTTTATCTTGAAGCTTCCATTGCAGTGCCCCCTTCAAAAACACAGACTGAAACTCGGAACCTGTCCCCAAGTACTTGATCGAAGACGAACCATGGCCAATTCGCCCTTTGAGTGTGGTCCAAACTAGATCCCTTTGAGACAGTCCAAACCCTGGCAGCTTGCAGTTGTGGGCCGTGACTTTGCTTTGAGCTGTCCAACTTGCTATGCTCGAGTGCTATGTCCGAGTAAGTAAAGTATCGTTAGACTCGGCCAGTAGCTCCAGGCCTCGAAACGTTACTTTTCGCTGGTTGTTTCAGCCCCCCGTTCTGCTGCAATTGCCGCACCGACTAACTGGCCGACGAGAAGCAATAGTAGCCCAGTAGTACACAGAACTGCTTCAAAAGAACTACAGCTTAGACTTGAACTTTAAACTCTAAACGGCCCTAAACCCGAGTTTGACAACGCCAGAAGCCGGAACGGCCATCCTAAGGACCACGCTGCCGTGTCTGCTCGTTGCCATTGGCGAGAGCGAAACGTAAAATTTCCTTGGCTCGATGTCAACTTAACAACTGTTCTCAAGGCCCTGGGGTTAAGGGTTTCAGTTTTGTGCATTTCTTGGTTGAAGGGCTGGCTTTCCGGCTTGCGGCTTCGAGCTTTTTGGGCGTAGTCCCTAGGTCCTGTTTGGGTTTTAGGGCTTCGAGGCTGCCCAAATTCCAGAAAGCTGTGAGGCGAGAGTGCCGGGCAGCCGGGCATGTCCGAAGTTGGACCTTTACTGGGCCTGTGCCGAAAAGGAGTACCCTCTTGTCTATGCACTCTGTAGACCCTTTACATGCTGAGCGCGCCGAGAATCCGAAAAGCGCCTTCTGACCTCACAGGCAAAGCCCCAAGCCCCAATAATCCTCGATCTCAACTGGAGCCCGAAGAGCCACAATGGAGGCCTCCGCCTCCGCGAGTGCCGCAGGATCCCGACGTTGCGGCGCCGGCGCGGGCTGGATGGTTGGGAGCCCGCAGCTTGGTTTTGAAATCTGGTCTTCTTTTGTTAGAAGGTTCCGTGACGGTGGCAGTGGCTGCCGGGGAGGCAGTCCTGCTGGCTTTGCTGATATGCCTGTGGTTGTCATGATAACGACGAAGGCACAAGCTTATGATGGTGATGCTGCTGCTGATGAGGATAATGACCGTGATGACGTACAATGATCATGGTGATTGCCATGGATTTATACATTTCCGAGTTTGCAGGCTGTACCGGTTTCAAGAATGCCCTCTTTGGGCTTGTGCCTGTTCAAGGACATGCATACCTGGGCGTAGCAAGATGCACAAAGTCAAGACCAGGCTTCATGCGACGCTGTTTTGTTGCGACGGCCTTCCCATGGGAGACTGTGCCATGATTGCGTGTAGCTGCATCAAAGCCCAGACACGTTTACTGTCAATGTTGCGTGCTTGGTCGCTTGAGAGTTCCAGCAAGGTCCAGCTCGAGGGTTGTAATTGTACTTTTCGAGCATCGTCAGGGATCCCCTCAATATGGAGCGAGCACGACGGCTACTGAACCCGAGTCAATCTGGATATTGAAGTAGTGCGACGGCATGGCATGCGCAACAGTAGCCCATGCTACGAAGTCCTCCCTCTGAGTACAGACTACACAAAACCCTGTGCAAAGCAAACCCACTTTGCAATTTGCCTTCTCCGCCGCGCCGTCCTCCGAATCGGGCGACGCGTCCTGAGGCATCTTATCTAAGGTCAGAATCTAAGGCCTTGCCAAGTCTTGCCGAGTTACCTGAGCACCACATGATCCCCAGGCGACTGTACAGCAACTCCCACACCTAAGAACCCAAAGCCCTCAGCTCCAAATCCCGAAGATCGCCCCCTCTGCCAGCCAAAGCTCTGGAACAGCAGCCGTAGCTTCGGCGGCTTCTAGAAGAGCGCCTGGCCACAGCCAATCGGGTCTTCTGTGGGTGTCAGACAATGTCGCTGGGCTTTTGAAGCCCCAGTCCATGCTGCCATGGTGTGAGCCACAACTACGAGCTAGATCGCTTAAGGCTTCGGCACGAACTTCAGTTGAAACCAGGACTTGGGGTCGGAGGCTGGATCGTCTACACATGCGGACCAGTACATCGTCATACGCATGTCTCGGTGGTTGCAAACGTCATTTCCGCCCCTTTCGCGTCCATCTTGACCCCTTCGATCGTGATCGTGCAGCTGCCTTCACCGAGAAGCCGTAAGCTCGTTCGAACGATGGCCGGATGTGTCAGTCGATAGGAGTGGTCCTGCTAAGATGGGAGCAGAAGGTTTATGCCATGCCTACAGGGTGGGTGGGGTGGGGGGGCTCTTGGCCCAGTGGGGATGCAGCTGTGTGCGTTCGGTTGAACCCAGCACGTGGCGGGTTTGGAAGCGCGAGTCTGCTCTTTCACCATCATGACCACAGTCTCAACATCTGAATTTGTAAGTCTCGGATTCCTGAACTTCTCACAAGCTAGACAAAGGCCTGTTCTTAACAGCATCGATACAAATATCACTGTTACTGTTCTTTTTATCGCGCTCAGGTTGGACCTGTGTATATTGTGCTTGATTGTTGCTCCATTTGCTTTGCTGGTGTTCCTCGGTTTGGGAAACACGCTGGGACACAACGCGTGACAACCGTGTTCTTCTCAAACTGCTGTTCTTTAATGAGCTGTAGCGTGACGGGCTTCACAGCCCACTAGGCAAGCTTCTGGCTTGCACCCCAGTGTATTGTGTAGACGATCAGGTGTCGAGTCCTCTCTCAAAAGATTCCGTCCCTGCAGTGCCCCGGAAAGCCTCCGCCCCAAACACCAAACCCTAAACCCCAGGACCTCATACCGAACCTTAAGCGCAAGACGCACGCCCGAAGTTGCAAGCCCCAAGCGCACTTTGCCGGAACATGCATCTGATTCTGTCTCGTTTGAGTATGCTGTGATCCTGTTAGTTGGCTCCTAGGGGGCGCTGGTCGCATTTTGTGCTTGGTAGGACAGCCTTGTGGTTGCGTTCGCCTATCGTCTTTCGCGGCAGCTCACCCCCACTCCCGCAAAGCAGTGTGTGTGTGTGTGTTTTTTGTGTTTTTTGAAAATGGGAAAGCAGCCACACTGCGCTTGGGGAACTAAGCCGAACACCCAGATATGTCTGAAGAAATTACTTGCATATACACCCGGAGAAGCAAAACCCAGCAAGATGGAAGGATGCACAGGAGGAACCCCGAAGTACCAGAACTCGCAAGGCCAGTCCTTTTCGTACTTGGGGTCGGTGAGCTTTCCTGTTGGCCGGCCAAGTCTCAGGAATTCGAATGCAAGTGCCTCTCTGAGTATGGTACCCCAGCCGCTCAGAGTTCTTGCAGTCCCACTCTAGCACTGCGCTGCGGGCTTCAACTTAACTTGTGACCGATGGCCGGCATGAGGAAAGGGAGAGGGACACCGGGATACCACGGAACACGCAAACTTACGGGGGAGATGTTCGCTAAAACAGAAACTAATGCCTCACCAGGCGGATTCGCTGTCTAGCCCTCAACCCCCCCCGAAGGTGGATGGACAAAAAACTTCACCCATGTTGAGCGGCTCAGTGTGCGGATGAGAGTTTTGGGATGCATAAGTAGCAGAAAATTATGTCAAGTTTTGGCTGCAGCAGGAGCGTCCACACTGGCGGGCATTCGCCAGGCGCTGCATCTTGAAAAGATATCCTCGGCCACAATACTTTCAGAAGGAAACCGTAGTCATGCGACGATCAGTCCTCACCCCCAAAACCCGGAAAGACATGGAGCTTAAACGGCCTGGGACAATTTGAACCCATTTGCGCTGACCTAGTTTCCGGAATCCCCCCTACTGGAGGCCAGGCATCCCGATTTGCTGAGTCCTAACCTTTGGTATTCCAAACAAAGGAGAAACATCGGAATGACGGTGTTCAAAGGCAAAGGCCCAAGCAAGACTGTCACAGGCAGATAGTAAGGTCTGTGCAGGAATGGTATGTATGGTGCTACTCTATGAGGCTGCTGCGGTGCATTTGGTTCAGCGTAGGTCGTGCAAGGAGATAAGAGTTTATGTTGACCACGACATGAAAAAAACTAGATACCTTAATTTCGAGCATTCCCCACACACAAGTCGGTCGGTCGGCACTGGAAACCACCGATTCTGCATTGCACCCTCTGATATATGAAAGGTGAAGGTTCAGATAAGCTGGAACTCCTCATTGCGATCCCATGTTTCCGTGTGACCGTCTCTGCAGCTACGCACCGTTGTTGCGACGACGGATGCGGAACGCTTGAGTGGCTTCAAGACTTTGGCTCGAGATATCAGCGCCAGCCACCAATTTTCAGAACACACAGTTCCCGGAAACCCCAGCAACCTCACTTGCGACGACTTGGTTAAGCCAAGCCGCTGAAGGCCACGATTGCGGGCGTAGGCAGCTCGAGAAACTTAAAAACCGTCTGCTGCTTCCTGCATGCGGGAATCAGAACGAGCAGGGCCAGTTACTAGGAGGTGCCGGATGTTCTAACTTAGTGAAGCACTGAGAACGAAGACTACCCGATCAGACGGGCGCTTCATCCAGCAGCCCTCAAAATCACGGCCCAGTGGGCCATGAATGACCCATTAAAGCCGAAATCCGAAGCCATGGAGTCGCAAGAATTCTACGCGCTGTTGCCCACCAAGGCCTTTGCCCAAAATTGAATACCTCTCGTTGAATTCGAGGCCTGCAAGATGACCTCCTAACATGCGCCGTCTGAGCGTTTTACTGTTTTGGGGGGCTGGAAGCTTACCTCCATGAGCTTTTGTGATTTCGGTGGGTCCGAACGGAACCTGGCTTGTGGTGTCCCAGTGTAAATCTTGCGTGCTCTCACCAAGCATCTGGCTGCCTTGCTGCCCTGACTGCCCTCGCTAAATTCTGCAGCTTGGGTGCTCGTGCACGGCGACTTCGCTGCGCAACCTTGGGCGCAGTTCTGAAGGCTTCCTGCTACTTATCGGGGTGAGGACCGTGATCAAGCTGTCGGGGTATTGGCTTGGTGCTACCGCAGAACCCATAGCAACTGCAACATCTTTTCTGATGGGGTGCACCGAGGTGGTGCTCGGCAGGGTTAGGCTATGCTTCCGTGCTTCACGCGGCTGCACCCACCACCGTCCGGTTCGCTGAGCACTGAAGAATGCCAGAATGCAAACATCATCAATCGAGAGGTTCTGCCAAAATCGGCTACTGCCTCCCACCCTTAATCAAAATAATCCTAGAAACCCTTCAGCTTGTAAGAACCTCCAGTACGGGTGGGAGGGCGGTGGGGGCCGTTGGAACTTTCTTTCTGTCATATGAATGAACCATGTCCAAGCTTCGTTGACTATGTGCTGCGCGAATGGTGCACAAAGCAGCTTCAATACTCAACAAAAACTAGCAGCCTTCCAGGAACTTCATGAAAGGGTTACTGTACAACACACCTATCGCAGTTGAAGCGGTGGCTGTTTCAACTCCAAGTCCAACTGACGCAAAGCTTTGCCGGGCGCTATGAGCTTGGCCCGGCGCCACTGCAAACTGATGCCTGCTACGTTAGGTGAGTACCCAACAGTAGGAACTGGGGTTCATGGGTCCAGGCGGGCAACCCTATGTAGATCTCCAAAGGTTAAGAGCTGATGGGAATGGCTGCGGATTTTAGTTCTCTGCTAGACTTCTATGCTTGAAGCCCAGATGTTCGGGGATCGCAAAAGCTTGTTCAAGCTCCACGTCCTTCACCATAAGCGCAACGCAGGGCGGCATGAAATCAGATCAACACAGGAATCACTGGAACCTCTAGAAGTACTATTGAACGTCTTCATCTTGCATTAATCCCTATCCTGAACTTTGAGACGACCTGCATCACCGAGTTGGATCCCATCCCAGGCTCAGTGAACTTGTGGGATTTATGGTAAAGGTCTACCGGGTTTGTGTGGCTCAAAGTCAAAGAGCGACGTTGGGCTAAACCCTGATCTGGCGAACAGCCGTGTATTCTGGGCAAATGTACACAGCTTTCCGCTATTGCTTTCAAGTAACAGCTCACCCGACTCCAAAACCACCGAATGACAACCCGCGCTCACCTCGAACATCCTGTTGGCGCCTCTTCCGACTGGTATTATTGGATGCTGTTGCTAGTTCGGCTGTTGCGCCCACCGTGACAACAGGCCCTGCACTTCAAAGGGTGACTGCCAGGAAACAGGTGGCGAAGGATCCGCTCAAAAGCGGGCTTTCGCTCGGCAACCACCTTGTTCACTCCATCGGTGTTTTGTGTGTGTGTGCTCGCTGTAAGGTCCAGCATAGGCCAAGACGGATTCAGGACCAACTTCATGTGGGCATGACATACTCAATGAAGATGAACATGATATTTAACGAAGAATGGGATGACTATGCTCCGTGGCTCCATAAAACGTACCAAAACGCCACAGGGTCTGCGTTGTCACGCTATGTGAATGCAATCGCCCCACATCCGGGCTCCTGGCAGAGGCGTCTGTGGACTGGAGGAACTTCTTCTCCGGCAGAGGAGGCCTCGGAAGTGCTTGGAGGGTTGCCTTGCAAGGGGGTTCGGCAAAGATTTGACAGGCTACGGCTTTCGCCAAGATTGAACACCCTTGAGAACGTGAGCGCGCGTCACTTCTCACTAAAGAGTCACGCTCCTACGAGTTGTTGTCGCTCGCAGACTCGCGGCATGTTCGGTTCTAACTCCCGGAGGTCCGCGTGCAGACGGTCGAAGTCGTCGAAGCGCTTCTCCACTGTAAACCTGTGCTGCCGATTTCTTAGGACTGTATGGGCATGCTCTAGTCTACGGCCCTGTCTTGAGCCCGTCAGGACTTGAACCCCAACTTGGGCTGATTGGAAGCTGTCTGACTGTTCACTGCTTCTTCGCAGGGATTGTTTTACCCAGTATGCAGCATCATATTCAGCAACTGTACCACTCAACTCCACTTCAGCCGCATGCAAGAAACAGAGAGCCATTTTCCCAGCAACAGGAAAAACAATAGCGCAAGCAGCACTCAGTTCTACCCACAACGACAGCGCAGCGGCAGCAATCACCACCACAACCACCAGCAAGCTAGCGCAACTGAAAATGAGCCCATGTCAAAACTGATTTTGCATAGGCATCATCGCATCATCATCTCTTCGCGCTGCCACCGCCACCCACCACCACAGAACCATCAACTTCGTGTTCTTCAGCACCACCAAAAAGGTCAGCATCAAAATCAGCATCACCAATACTATCATCACCATCACGATCCGCGTCAGCATGACCACTGACTACCATTATCGCACAAGCACAAATAACCATCATCGCCGTCGTCATTAACTAAATTACCAACACCGTGCGCCATCATCATGGTCAAAAATTTGCAACATCATCGCGACCTGGCTGTCAACTTGGTGTACCCCATCAATACCAACGCCATTAGCACCAACCAACAACACAACCGGCATCAGCATCATCATGATCATCATCACCATCATCACCATCCCCATCGTCATTGCCCATCGTATGTTCATGAAAACGACACGGAAATCAGCAAGCAGCAGCACTCAGGTGCCTGCTGCCGTGTTGTCGCAGCCTAGGGGCTTGCGGCCGAAGTCGCTCACTTCCACCATGTACACAGACCAGGATTTGAGCATACCTGTGACCGACAGTCTAATCTTCGAACTCTCCATGGCCAATTCAATGAGCAGACAAGTTCGTCTGTCCCCCACGGATCCTCAAAACGACTGCTGCATGCTGAAAAAATTCAGATGCCCGCATGCCGTGTTGTTCCACGTTAGGTCCGATGTGGGGTCGACTTTCCAGTAGCTGCAAAACCACGTCAGGGACTCCAAATGAAAGCAGAGAATTGTGGCCAAGCATACCGTGCCATCGGCAGTAGGCCCCAAGATAAGCTATGTGCCCTCTCCAACGTCTGAAGTAAATCGAACAAGGCTTGGGGTCATATTGCACGACAGGATTATGACAAGGAGCTGCGAATGGACCCCTGCCTTGTTTAAGTGAGACTCCTAATTTGCTACACATGAACCAAGGCACTGCTTCGTTCCTCCGTCGTTGTGATTTGAACCCTCAGCTGGCAGGTGGTGGATGCCGCTCAACCAACAGGCACCCGAAGCATTGAAACTGCAGCAGCCACACAGCTTCAAGTCACGTCAAAACAGAAGCCGGCTCAAGCAAATTGTGGCAAAGCTTCTGTACCGGCAGTGCTGTGTCGTTCCCCGGCGTCCCAGGCGCCATGGCAACAGAAAAGAAGCGTTCGTCGGAAGAGCTTCTGTCTCGTCGATGCGCTTTGTTCAGCGTATCACGGAGACTTCTAGTTTCAGGGTTTTGGCTTAAGGGTGGGGAGAAGCTAGGTCAGCTAGGGGTTTGGGGGGGCTTGCAAAGCCCAAAAAACAGCAGCAACTCCTGATCATGGAAATAACACCGGGATGGGGCCCAAGTACAGGAAGATGGAGCATCTTCTGACGATTCGCCAGTTGGCGTACCAGAGTTGGCTTTGTGTCTCACCTTCAGTCATGATTCCGCAGTTCATTTGAGCTGTACACATGTGGTGTAGGTTTGGCTGTATGTGTAGGCTTTGCAGCAGAGGAAGTGCTTTGAGCAGCTTGCTTGAGGGATAGAGTGAAGAGGAGCTCGACTTTCATGCGCAACAAGATTCTAGGCTCTAAAATATGTTTGACACGAGTGATACTGGGATCATGATTGAACTAATTATATTGAGAGCCATATAACCCTAAACCAAGGCGACAGCTCCAAGTGAAATCCCTGGTCTCTATAACACTGATGGACCCAAACAGGCGCCCTCAATCACTCAATTTCGATAGTCTTAGAAGGAAACACGGAGGACCTAGAAGGGAACACCCACTTCTTCCGTGGAGACATGTCGCATTGAAGACGCACCTATTCCACGGCGCCTAAAATCTCGCCGCGGATGCATGACTTGCAAGAGCAGCCCTGGACTTGGGCTCTGCAACCTCCCATCTCATGCTCAGCGCGAAGCAGGCTCAAGACCTTTTCTGAACGGCATCCGCAAACACAGGGCCCAAGGGGTGTGCAGCATTATCAAAAGATAGCGAAAACCTGAAACCCTGAGGTCAAGAATTCCGTTTGGGCAATATCCCTGGATGGACCTGAATCTTGCTGATGACGATTCCTGCTACCATTGTTGTTCCGTCCAGGCTCAGGTTCCCTGTGTTTAAGGTTCGGCAGTAGGGCAGGCTTAGTGCGCAGATGCTGCAACACCTTGGGCGGCGGACTGAGGCTATGTACAGCACGCGGCTGAAAGCTGGGAGGCAGGTCGCTTCCAAGTGGAACCTACACGACAACAGGATTGGATCTGTTGGATTTGTAGGTCATGGGTATCGCGAGGATTGTTCATAGGGCTTCGGGAAGTTGTATGTAGAAAGGGGCTATACCTGAAACTCGATAAGCGTTTTTCGCTTGCCTTCTCTTGTTGGCGCCCAAGGACTGATTTGACGTGTCTCTTGTGGTCCTCCACACCCTGGAAGCACTCTAGCCTCCTTTCACAGGTACAGTTTGTTCTTCGCGGCCCCGAAACTCAAGAGTCGCCCTTGACATCGGTCTGTCGGCAGCATGCACGCTGCAAAGGCGATCAGAACAAGAACCATAGTGTTCTTAGACCTTGAAACCAGAAGCCAGGGACCTGCCACAAGCCCTGAGTCCGAGGTAGACATGGCAAGCCGAGCTAGATGATCACTGCTGCTCACAGCCCCGCGGTCGGCGTGGCGGCGCGGCCTCCAAAATTATTTCCGTCTTGGAGTTCGGGGTGCCCGGTCTATAGGGTTACTGGGCTCAGGTTTGGGGGTTCAGGCTTTCAAAGCTTTTGGGGAGTAAAAATTGATGCTTGTGACAGTCATTTGACCGTGCGTCTTGAGCTTGAAGGATCACGGCACCGTGCCATCAGAGCCGCCAAGACCAAAATCGCAGAAGCAACGTCAACGTGTAACATTATGGGTTGTTACAACTCAGGACCCATCGCGTACGAGCACATAGCAAAAATCTGAAACCAAATGCAGGGCATTTCAGAGAAACTACAGAAGAAGCTCCGTTTTTCGACATGTTAATTGCAAGAGTCGAGGTTCGTTTTAGAATATACAGTCGAAATGCAAACAATCGGATATGAAACGTTTCCGAAACTCCGACGATGGCAGAGTGGTCGGGAGGTTCATGTGGGAACCGAATAAGGATACTACTCCTGAGGCCGGCAAACGCCGCATCTCCAAGGCTTCAAGGTCTGTCTGCGCTCTGCACCATCTGAACCCCCACCCGAAAACCCTAAAGCGCCCTGGCAGATCACCTCAGCATCGCTGGAGGCAGCAGTATCCCTCCTGCACGGATTTTGGCTATTGCGGATCCAGCTTGCGTTTCAGGGCATCAACTAATCATGAACATAAACAACCGGGATCTCCCGAAACATGCACATAGGAATCGCTAACTCTTGATTACAACCAGACGCATCTCAAACTTCAGGAAGACGTGCCTCAATGTCTCGAACTGATTCACGAGAACGGAGAGAGCCTGCGCCTGCCCGGCCCGGCCGAAATGGTGACAAATTGGGGATTCTGCCTTTGCAAAATTGATTTGTCAAGCTTTGAGAGTCGATAAGGCTGCATCATGCTGCTCTCTTTGTTGTGAAGGTATGGCTGAAGACCTTGAGACTGGGCCTGACAGCCACGTGCCCCAATGCCTGAAATCTTGAATTTGCCTAAAGCACTATGTACCAATTGCTGCACATCACGAGGACCACTTTCAGGGCAAGCTGCTCGCCAGGCCGGATGTATCGTGGCAAGGATTTTGACCACAACTATCAGGCTATCAGTGGACCACAACAGTGCGTGACAGCACACCAGCCTTAGATCGATTTGTGCTGCCAATTACAACTCGAAGATGGCTCATGACTCGTTCAACCAAGACCGAAAGTCGCTGAACAATTTCACTGCAGGGCCTTCTCACCGTCTGGAGCTAGCTGGCGGATGCTTGTGCAGAGAGTGCAAAAGGCTGTGTGCTTGAATCGCAGAAGAGACCATGCACACTCTAGTGACTGATGCGCGCATCAAAGAGCATCTTCCGGACCAGCATTGACACGATGCCCCCGTGGCCGCACTGGACCGGGCAATAGAGTGAGCACCATCAAAGCCGAAAAAGCAACCACGTCGAAGCCTTGTAAGGGTACTGGACCAAGGCCTTGACACCCTGAACTCTCCGCCCACACCCCTGCGAATCTACAAATCCGGCATGCTGCGCTGTAAAAGACATCGCACCTGTGGATCATGCGCTGCTGGTTGTGGGCCTGGGCTGGAAATTCACGATTCAAGATGTGCTCTCCAAAACGGAAATCTACCAGCATTAACTTATCGTGCCTGCACAAATATAACCTGTAACACACCCCCACTTTGTTGCGGCCTATAGACTGTCTTACACCCGTCCTACAGGACATAATATTCTGTAGTGGTAGCATTAGTAGTAGTAGTAGTAGTAGTAGTAGTAGTAGTGGTAGTAGTAGTAGTAGTCGTCGTAGTCGTAGTCGTAGTCGAAGTCGTAGTAGTAGTCGTCGTCGTCGTCGTAGTAGTAGTAGTAACAGTTAGTTGGTAGTAACCAGATGTAATTAGTATGACCATGTCTCGAAACTCGTTCATTCTCGATCTCTTTATGTGAATGCCCTGAAGACACCCTCGCGCTAATGGGACAGCCAGCGCATATTGTCACAACAAATATGGCATGACTGTGAAACAGCAGAAACAACTCCCGAGACTGCAAAAGGAGGTCCTGCCTCTGAACCTTGGTTGTCTTGGCTGAGCTTTAAGTCCCACAGACAATATGTTCTTTGACAATGAGTCTGTCGTGCGCAGAACCGACTACCACCAAAACCTGGAGCAACGAAGTCACTTGACAACGCAGTAGTTCCGACAAAACAGTTCCGCCCATGCCCGCCAAACACCTGGGAGTCTTTCTTATGTCCCTCCATGCTCTAGGCAGGTAGAATAACTGTCGGCTTGCGCCACACAATCAGCCGAGTCTCTGCTGGGAAAACGCTTTTCGAAATCTCTCGACAGCTCCTGGGCCACGATGGGGGACTGGTGTCGCGTGGGACCGGGTTGTTTCTTTGCATTTTTGCAGCAACGGCACGACGACGAATGAGTACAATAGCACAGGCAACAATATAAGCTAATACTAAGCGATGTAACGACGTTGATATATCCATGATAGCATCAACCATGTGGGAGAGCAATAGAAGAACTGCAAGCTGTGGTCCGCATCAGGGTTACGATCATCCGTACCGACAAGAAAGTGCGCTCGGGCTGAGGAAACAACAACATGCACAGTGGTGAGGAGCATCATCAAAAACCTACCTACAGCAGCGGTATTGACAACACTACCCTGATAATGGGGAGAGACAGTCACAATAGCATTGACAAAGCAGCCTGCGGCAGAACAAGCAAACAGTTGCATATGCAGACTGCATGTCTGCCGCCACAGTAGAATCATCGGTAGGCAGAATAGAGTCAGAGTGATGATGGCACTGACAGCAACCCGAGAAGCGGTCAGCAGCAGACAAGGCAGGAGGAAGAGTATCCACCGTCGGAGCCCGATATAGTAGTACTCGTTTGAGCCAAGGCTTCATTCTCAAGTGAGAATTCAGGAAACAAGAAACTGGGAAGGGAAGTGCAGGATGCAAGCCGACTAACATCTGCGACTATTATACGGCCATAAACAAGGAAGCATGAAGGAGCATCCTTCCTGCTCTCTCGGTGCTTCTAGTTGAGACTGTTCCGCCCAATCTGACCACGGTCAGAGTTCAAGGTCCGAGGGTGCCACATTGGCCGGAGCCCAGCTCAAACGCTGAGATTCCTCGGCTCGTGAATGCAGGGACTTACGTTCCGTTAAAGTCTCTACGGTGTTGTTACATGGCTTGATTGACCCGTGCTTAAGGCTTGGACCTTCTACTGGTCCTCTGGAACCTTAGGAAGAAGCGCAAAACTTCAGGCGGAGGGACTGGGGACTCAGGATGGAGATGACATGAGATGACGGGCACGGGACGTGACCGCAGCAGGGCGACGATTCTACAACGACTTGCGCAGCTTCTCATGCATTCGCACCCGCAATCAGCTAAACATACGGCCTGCGAACAACACTGCAGGGATTCTTGGATCAAAAACAACCGAGTGAGGTCTAGAAAGAGCCCTCATCAAACAACCTGTCTCCACAATCGACCGTCCGCTACCGTGCAGTACGAGGTGAAGAAATGGATACCACGTACCGTTGCCGTGATATTTCAACAACGATCATACAAGAAACGCGGCTGCAACGATAAGAACTTAACACCCAGAACGTTCACGCAAACGCGATGCTGATGTCTATCAGGCGGCACGGAGCGCGTCCCAAAGCGATGGTCCGCCGAGCTGAGCAGCGATCTGGGAAGGGTTTTAGAGGGTCGTGGAGAAATCAGGGCGGTGAGTAAACAGCGGAGTCAGGTGCCGCCACTACCGCCGCCATTTCTCTGAGAACCCATGATGAGGATGCGCGCATGATGACTGCTGTCTCTCCGAAACATTATTGCAGCTGCTAGCAACGAATTTCTTTCCAATGTGCATCAACACCACCTCCGCTGCTTGAACTACTTGTGCTAAATGCCTCGGATACATGCGCAACCGACGGCTCAACGGAAGGGCCGTCCCCCGGACACGGACAGTCTCAGGAAATCACCTGCCCAATGTAATGTCTGCAGGACTAGTGACTAGTGTATAGTATTCGGGTTAAGTTTCAAGGCTCTCGGTCTTTGTTGGGATTAGACGGGCTGACAATGCACTCAATCAGCCATCAACACCATCAGATCATCATGATCGTCGTCACACCGCGGCATGGTGTTTTGCGACTACACGCAGCCCATCTTCGCCGCCTGATGGAACGACAGACTGTCTTGGCACTCGCCTGCTCTCGGTGAGATCATGTCGTCTTCCGGATGGCAGTCCCCAACATCGCAACTTCGGAGATTCACCACCAGACCCTTGCATAACGAAATCCCACCACCAAAACTGAAATCCGGGAAACCGAAGGACATCAACCCTATAAGCCTTTATGTTTAGACTTCAACAAACCTCTTGCGACGTAACGCCTCAACAAAAACAAGCACGTGGCGTGCTAAGCAATATGAACCTTAGGCCTCAAGCCCCACGCCTGACATAGGGGTCACAGACGAATATCTAATGATGCATCCATCCTTTATTGAAGGCTCCTTTGATTGAACTTGCAGGTCTGAGAGCCCCCTGCCGCATTTCTCACGTCAGCAACTCCGCCCGGTGCCCAGCCCCAGCTGCCGCGGGCCATCTGCAAGGATGCTTCCAGCATGATGACAACGGGGTTTTGTGACTTCGGGTGTGTGGCAGTGCCACATGGAGATCCTGAACGGTCCTTGCCGTTGCCGCTTATCAGGAATCAGGACTGTGCTCTGCAATCAAGCATGAACTTCCGATTCTGCATCAGCGTACAACCAACAAAAATGAAACACTCCTGGTAGGTGCGGAGCGGGTCGGACAGGCCACACGCCCGTGAACCCTATCAGATTCCAGAGGCCTCGCCGAGGAGTTGCGTTCGACTCCATTGCGCGTAGCCCGCCCAAGCAAAGATCACGGCACCCTGCAACACGCTGTGGAATCTGTCGTAACCTACTCTAGGGTACTAGGGTCTCTATGAATTAGATGTCAAGCGATTCATGCTAAGACAGCTCAAAAAAGTAGAACCAGAAGCTTCAGTGACACCACCTCCGAAATATGTTCAATGTACGTGCTGCCTGTATACCCTCTCCTGCACCCTAAACGCTAAAGTCAAAGCTGAGGCCACCCACCTCCGCAGGTGGGCGGCGCTTATAGGCCTCTCGACGTCGATGGCGCAGAGCGATCCAATACGCTTGCCCGGCTCCCCACAGCCATGTGCACGGTGGCACTGTAGCACCCACATCGTGCCCGGTACCGGAGCAGCCCTGCCCTGCTCCCTGCCCTGCTTTGCCCTGCCCTCCTGCCCTGCTCATGCTGCATGAACACAAACTTGAAGAAAACCATAGAAAGAGTTTAATGTGGCGTGGTCGCCTCAGATGGTGTGGGGTGGGGAAGAAAAAAACCAAAAAGCCCTCCAGTCGGGCTCCAGCAGCCAATTGTCATACTACCATGCACTCCGAATTGACCTTGTCGCAAGATATTCCCGCCTATGCGCTACTCAAGCCTAAACCCTAAACCGTCAACCCTATGTGTGCGGAAATTGAACAGGCCCGCTGTTGGAATTGGATGCTGCCCCCCCTTTATGGTTTCATGTTGGTGTGCTGCTGCGCTATCACTGAAGGCCTCTTCTGCTTTTGTTGATTGTGCCCGTTTCGGGTGGGGATGCTGATGATGATGATGACGACGATGATGATGACGATGGTCAACGGGATGGTTGGCTGAGGGTCGCGATCCTCGTGAATGTCGCTGTTCTCTGGATGTTGACTAACATAAACTGTCGTCATTTCATGATCTTGATATCGCCGTGCGCGCAAGTACCCAAACACAACCGCGCCCGCATGCAGAACTGAGGATTGAAAAAAGGGCAGCCCGGCGAATCGTCCCAGACTACGTTGTCCAGCCAGGGCATAGCAAATGGCGGGATGTGGTGCAGGGAGGTCACACCCTCTGCAGTGAGCGAGTCCTTGAGCACGTCAAGACAGTTACTGCCAAAATTGTAGTCACGCTCTTGGCCACTATCGTCGCTGCATGTGTCCAGCCATGGTTGGTCACCCGCCAACCCAACTCATTGACAGCTTGCAACGCTCTCGGGACGACCGAGGTCCAGTTGACGAGCCAACATCGAGGCCCAGTCTGAAACCAAGCCGGTCTAGCACTGAAATCTCCACGCAACGCGCAAAGCTCTCCATTGTGCGACCCACTGAGGATCCCGCTGCCAACCATGCACAGCACAAAGAAGAACCCAAGAAATCTCTGTGAAATTGGCACAGAAAATCGCTTCAGGATCGCTTCGACTTCAGCCCTGATCGCGCTGTCTCCTCCGTGGATGGCTGCGCAACGCCACATGCTCACCAAGGACTCGAGAACGCGCTGCTTGTCATGGATGTTTGGATCGAGCATCTTCAGGTACCTCGAGCGAAGAAGCACAAGCCGTCGGGGCAATTTGAGTAGCCTTTGATCGACGGGCCGAGGATCTCCAAGTGATCGAGGTTGAGCTGGATGGTGTTCGTGGCGGCGCCGCCATGCTGCAACCAGGAAATCTTCGCTTCGCCACTGCAGCCGCCCAGCACCTGATCCGGAGGCACAAAGTCGCAGAGCATGATGTTGCCTTCGTTCCAAGATGCCCGCCTGCACAGACTGCGGTTCGCCCAAGAAGGTGCATTGGTCTTGTTGTCCCAGAAAGTCGCCAGACACAAAGGATAGCTGAGGCTTGGATCCCAAGTGGGGCTTCGTACTCTATGCTTCAAAGTCCATTTGGTGTCCGGCGTCGCAGCTCAGGCACCATGATCAATGGCGCTGACCCTCACAAGGCTATTGGCAGCGCACCCTATCCTGGCACGCTCCCAGGCTGGATCGCATGGAGATTTTCTTTGAGCCCAGCCTCCACTTGAGCCAAACATATATGCGAATAAATCAATTAAAATTCATTGCATGAACAAAGAAGCAGACGTATAAACTAACAGATAAATAAACAAGCACAAAAAAAAGTAGACATACATAGACACATGCGAGTGATGTGGACTGCCCAGCATAAGACTGGAGAGGCCTTGCCCGAGAGTGCGGCATCCTGCGCACGGGATTTCCAGCGGCCAGGGTAGCACTTGGGAAGGTTTGGGTGTCCGATGAGCTACAACGATTCTAAACATTAAACCGGGCTCAATGGGCGAAGCCCAGGGCGTGACTACCCTTGCCAGGAAGATGAGCACGCGATTCTGACGGACAAATCTGAACCTGGGGAGCCTTTGCTGCAAAATTGCATCGGATCTCTGCAGTGCCAAGACCAGATGCGCAAAGCTTGGCAGAATAAACACGGACGTTCGACCCTGCCTCGCAGGCGAGTGATAAGACTCCCTCAAGATCTCCATGTGCCACCCAAGTGCCGCCTTTTTGGGTCCAGGCTTTGGGTATTTCAGGAGATTCCAAAATATTTCGTCAAACCTTGTCAAACTTAGCATAGCCACAACAACCCCCAACGTTCCAGTCCCAAGATACAAAACATCCACAAATCTCTCTTCCAAGCACTGCATCGAACAAGCAACTCCACAAGGCCCGAAAGGCACAATCCACGAGCGGGCAAACTCTAACGGCCGAACTCCCGAACCCATGCAATGCAAGCTGAAGGCTGCGGTTCTGAAGGCGCTGGAGCCCTCAATTGAAAATTGTCCGACGTCGACAGAGCTGAGGGTCTGGGATGTCAGCGCTCAGAAACCGTTCCAGTTTTGCATGGGTGGACAAGCTTACAGATTCTTGCATCAGCCCTAGCCTAAAGCCCTGGACTGCTTGCTCCCCAAGACGTGCAAGCCATCAACGCCCAAAACCGCTAAACCCTATACCTACACCACTACAAAACACTCACGCCAACGACAAAGCCTGTAGGGGTCCGTGCCTTCGCCTTCGAAAAGGATATGGACACCGTCTTCGGAGTCACAGGCAGGAGACCTCATGACACAGTGCTCGGCCCATGGGAGCTCTGCCGAGAAACGTCACAAATAGAGTCAAAAGTAAGGTCATCCATCATGGACCGACGAACATCTTGGGCCAAAGAAACGGAGCCTTCCGGTCAGCAAGATGCAAAGCGGAAAGATGCAAACACCGTATACAGTATGAGCGTCTGTCAGGAAAGCGAGGGAGGAAAAGCCCGGAGCTTGAAACGCGCCCGGAACCCTCAAAATGTAATACCGGAGCAAGTCTCATCAGACTTCTAGATCTGCCTGGCTTGGGCTGAACCGTATCCTGTCGCGCGCTTTTCCTCCTGCCTGCAGATGCAAGCAGGAGAGAAGGCTTGCATCAGCTCGACGCAGGGCCCAACATAAAGTCATAAAAGGGCCGGCCTACAAAAAACAATCATGTAGATAGCGAGCGTGCGTGACATGCTTCAAGAATCTGCAAACCCTGCTGCGATGCGAACGACTAGTGTTGACTGGCGAGTACCTCATAATCACGCAGTAACAACAACTTCGCTACTCAGCTCAGTCGTCGCAGGTGAAATGTCCGACTCTCTTCGTTCAACATTTCCGGCGATCTTCAAGAGGTGCTGCGACTAGAGTGACTAGAGTTCGCTGCCTCCTCTCTGCTGCTGTTGCGGTTCAGTTCGTCCTTGCCTTGCCTTCTGGATGCAGTTCGCGACCAGATCAGTTTGGCTGTCCGACTTCGTGGAATCATGCTCGATGTGCCCATGGCATATTGCAGCCGCATGAAGTCGCCGCGGGATCGCGCGACAGCTGTGCACAAACACAACACAGTATGCAGTAGACCCTGCGCCGCTTTAGACCAAGACACAGGTCGGGTGTCCCAGTCGAACGGACAGATTGGGGATTTTGGAAAGATGTTGTCTTAGCAAATGCTCCACCCCTTCGATTCGGAATGCACGCAATAAACGCAGCTCCAAGCCTGACAGGTGCCCACCAGTCTCAATGTATCGTGCAAAGGCTGGTGACACCACCCATGTGCGGGGAGCGATGAGAGTCGCTGCCACTTCGGGCGAGAAGCCTAGCGTCCCACGATCTCTCCTGCCGTGCTTTGCTCGCCCAGCGAGATGCGCGGTCAAATGTCTTCTCGGTTTGCGCAACGACACAAAGGTCGAGCTTGCGACTCTCGCTGCTCCTGCCGACTGCTTCCATCACGATGATTTGCTTGCTTCTTTTATTTTCTGACTTTATGATAGCGCAGGAGGAAGTCCAGGGACTTTTTGTGACCAACGAACTTGCGTCCCTGGAGTAGATGCTGCTAACTGTTTCAACTCTTCGTGCACATCCTTCGCGCATACATACAAGCCAGCTGCTTAACCAGGCAGAACAACGGGGCTAGCTCGAACAAGTAAACTTGAGCCCAAACGAGGAAAAGGCCACCGAGTAAGAGGCAGCTCTTACACAAGCCTCGGCCAAGCCACTGCGTCCGAATGGATAAGCACCTTTGAACACTAGGGCTCTTTTGCCGGGCCACGGCAGTCTCTCCAGTAAAGCCATGGCGTGGACGTGGCGTGGCTTCACCTCGTAGCTGCGGGGTGTCTAGATCTGTGCAGAGAGGAATTGAATCACAGACTGGGATTAGAGGCACGCTGCTGACATCGGAGGTTGGACCATTTCACAGTACATATATACAAAGGGCGTGTAGAGGGGCTGCCCTACATAGCATTGAGACGGTCGCAAGGGCTGAGGGCCTTAGGATTTGCAGACGCGTGATGGCTCAGCGCCTGACTAAGTGTGCGATGCATCCAACACACGTACCAGAAAAGGATTCATCTGTACGGTTCAGCACAGGCATCTTCATTACGCCTCTGTGTGAGCTGCTTCAGCCGTGGCTGCAAACTTGTTCAAGAAAGCTGCTCGGAAGTAAGAGATCACTCGGCACTCCATCCCGCCAAACCCTGTGCACTCCCAGCATGGCTTGTGCTCGCACTGAAACTGTTTCCACTTCGGCTGCACAAGCCCTAAACATCCCAAGCCCAAACCCCAGGTCTCGTCCTGTCACGTCCTTGCATCCTAGCCACGGGCCCCCCATTCATCCAAAGCAACTCCTTGATTTCTCGTCCGGGCTTTTAAAGCTTCGTCTGTTGCGGTTCAGGCTTCGAAGGCTGAATGCTTGAGTTTGAAGGGTAGGGCTGGAGCTTTGGAGGGATCGAAAGCTGACTAGTTACCTGCCAAGTCGTGAAGGGCCTTGTGCCCTGCCGGCTTCTCAACCACCACGGAGCTGTTGGAACAATCAGCAGAATATATAACAACACACGAGAATCTGCAGCCTTCTTAGAATGCTGCAGCAGGGCATAGTTGAACCCAGCGTCGACGCCCTTCGCCTCGGCATTGTCGAGTTGCTCGGCTGCGACGTCTGTGGATAAACACTCCTTGCACGGCTTAGCGTTCTACCCCGGTGACGAACGGAGTGGAGGGCCTGATCGGACCCTGGAGATGACGTCTCTTGGGAATTCCCAGGTGTAGAGACTCTACCGGCAGCCTGAATGCAGCAACCGAAGCGCCAACTCAACAAGTATACTGACGATGACTGACGTTTCGGAGGAGAATCTCATTGTGCAAGGTCTCCACAAGTCGAAGACCTGAGAGAGGCCTCAAAGCCCGAATGCCACATAGCATCGTGAAGGATCGCTCAACTTGCACATCCCCGAAACGCACGACCACGCGCTTCAAGCCTCCAGCACTTTGGATTTTTGCCTCCCTCTTGACGGTCTGCAGGTCGAGTGCGAAATCTTCACAAGAGTAGGTCAGGTCTTTCGTCCCGACTGGCACTTCGAGTCGATCTGCCCCGAATGCACAAATCTCGTATGAGACACGTGTGACTTCAAAACCAAACCCTCCCCCGCTACCCATCAATTGGGCCCGGGGAGCGATGTTCGGTGCCTCCAAAGACCTGCATCAGCTGTCCCAAGTGGGCTTGGCTCGAAGGAGGAGCCGAACTGTGCTTGAGAGAGAAACTTCAAGCTACCGCTACAGTACTTACTAGGCTTGCTCCTGCACACATATTGACTCCAGAATTGCACCTGGACCCGGGATGGAGACCCTCTACCGTGTCTCGGGAAGATCATCAGACTTCCTGAGAATGGTGCACGTGTGCCCGCTCGAGATACCGTTAACACCAACCTACGAGAAGCCTTGCTGTCGTCTCGGCCCCCCGATCAGACCAGACCTACACCTGCCCGATGTCAAGTCGTGCCGGCCTTGACAAATTCACGCCGAGGACGACGTCGCCTTGCAAGGCAGGAAAGGCCAAAACAGCCCGCGAATCTTGATCTGGAGCTTCTGAGGTAAGATCTAAGTCCTGCAGTGCAGTTCCTGAACGGTGAGATCTGCAGTGCATGTAAGGAGCCAGAACGAACAGATCTCTAAACCCTACATTGGCCCTACATCCTAAAGGCATCAGGCCTCGAGGGTGGAGACCTTTGCACGCCTAGGTGCTTCTGTGACTAGCCTTGTGGCCTGCCGGATTTCGGACAAGCCCCGGCTTTGCCTAAGTTGCCCCAGCTGCTTTTAACCTCATCAGCATCGGCTCTAGCATGCATGTCCGCCCATGCTTCCTGGGTAGCACCTTTCAGATTGCGGGATTCTGAAATTGAAAACATACAGGGATCCGCACTTCACTACACGCTGAAGGCTCATACATACAGAACATGTCAATGTTGTGCCATCTGCACCTGGCGAATTTGGGACCTTGGACTCCGACACCAATCAGGCTTTACAAGCGCACGGGCCGCGCTGCCTGTGCTCACTTGTCAGTGTGGTGGCGAGCGTGGCAAGCGAAACGGGCGAGCCCCGGCTCGTGCTGCCAAGCCCAGAATCCAAGACGAACACCGAGCAAAACAGGGCCAAGTCCGGCTAGTGGAAGAGCTCACACGCAACAGAAGCGCTGCTTTTGACTAGATCTCCTAACATCCGGATCCCACTCGGCTGATTGCAGTGTTCGTGCTGCACATAATTCACTACACGGGTCTCGGATGTCTGCATCCGTGTACCCCGGACTTGCGAAGTTGAATTTTAAAGCGGCGCAGACTGAACTCCACCTCCCCAGTGCTTCGTTCGAGACCCCGTCGCATTACTTCAAACTCTGGTGCAGAACTATACGCCGGCTCAAACCATTGCTGTAACATTTGTGGCGGCCCTCAACAGCACTGTTGATGTCTGACACCTGAAGAGACTGTTATGGACCAGCCCTCAGGCTTAACCCTAAGCAGTTGCACACCAGCTTCGTGCTTCCATATATCTCGGACTGTGAGAATGCCCCAGCTATCGAATCGGCCGAGGTATAGTCCGAGATACTTTTCAGGAGCAACAAACAAGACAATGGTAGATGTACCGCTTTCAGCATGGATTAACTGGGCTGCACTCTTTGGAATCTCCCAGGAATGAAGACCAGCACAGGGCGGCAAAGAGCTCGCTGCAGAATTAGCTGCACTATTGAGACTTTGCAGTCGTCGAAGTGCGCTGGCAAGCGCAGAGTGGACTTCCCAACACAGCTTCTATGGAGCTGTCGAGACGCAAAACCTCTTCTCCTTGAAGCCTCGTTCTCTCTTTGTAGCCTCTACAGCTGTACGCCATGCGTATTGTTGGAGGCACTAATACCGAAGCTAGTCCTGCCCTTGCTGCTCTTCCTTCTCCTCGTCCTCGTCCTCGCCATCGTAATCTTCATCATCGGCATATAGTCTTTCATGTCACCGCAGCAGCAGTAGTGGGCACACTGGCAGAAGTGCGCACGAGGGTAGTCATGCTTTTGAAACTGAGAACTAGCGAGCACAGCAGGTCTACTGTTCATACTGCGATGCTAAACAGCAATGGTCCGACACGGACAAGCAGCATGAACTGAGAATGATGGCAAATGGTATCGATAATGATGCCAACCGCGTGGTCCTAAACACAGTAATTAACGGGATCTGCGCGGTAAATGAAAGGTCACCCAACAAGATTTGACGACGCTACCTTTCGCTGGCCCGCTGGAAGTTGTCCGTCAGAGCGGCCAGTCTGGTTTTCCATAAAATCCTACAATGAGGGTGCAAACGCAGTTCACATTCCTTTCGGCCTCACCTCGCGTCCTGAAGCGTCACCTAATGCTGCCCTACACCCCTTGTAAAACGCAGCCTTCTGAGATGTAAAACGCACCAACTACGAAGGATGTTCGCACCACCCGTGGAGTAACTGCACATTTAGAGGTTCAGAGCTGTGACGGCAAGAAGTCCCAGCTTCTCTTCTCCCTCGCTCTCGCCTGTTCGGACTCAACCGTTGACGAATCTAGGGATGTGAAGGTGTTAGGTCAAAAGACGAAGTGTCCGACACGTACCCAGTTATCTAACAAAGTGTGAAGGCACCGTGTATGTGCACATCCTAGACAAAGCCAGATAGGCTGTCTAGGGGCGTTGATTTGTCGAGAGCTTGGATGTTCCGATGCCCTGGCACCCATAATAGAGCTAGCTGGTCGAGCTAATGACGACACCGGCGATGAAACGAGGTCTACCATGAATTGAGCAAAGCGGATCTTTGCAGAGCTGGTCTCCAGACCTTGTAACAACTTCAAGCTGGTGCCCACCCCAAAGGTCCCTAGGCCATTAAGTGCATCAAAAAACACACTGCTGCGACACGGCCATCATGGTCCAGTATCGAGGACTGGGTGGGACGTGAAGGCGTTCGTTCAAGACGCCTGAGCCCGAACAGTGCCTGAAAGACTCCAACTCTCAAAAGGCCCTGTCCCTGAAGTCCTCGATACCGCAATTATTGGTTGTCCAGCTTCCTGGTTGACTGATGGCACACGAAAACGTTGAAAAAGACCTACTCGTAGCGTGTTTTGCATGGTTACCTGGACGACCATTAGTTCAAGAAGAGGCCTCCGGTCACGCAGCTCACAGGGTGCCGGCAGAAAGGGCAGCTTCGACTTGTCTGGCGCTCGTAACAGCCTCGTTCTTTGGAGGCCGTTTTCTTACGTACCCTATGGGTCCGACAACCTCAACCTTCCAAGGCTACCTCAACTCTCCGAGCATCGAACACCAAACCGACAAAGAAAGAACAGCTTTGGTGTCGCCGTGGTGTCGCCGGGATGCAAGTTGGCTCGTTAGGGAGTGAATGACCACTAGTACCGGTAAACTTGAGAACTAATTTGGGGTGCACTGAGAAGTCCTTGTCACTCATGGCTCCAGCAGCAAACTCTACTTGCAGGATCAAGACCGGGGGCGAGAAAACATGGTGCCCCAACACCTGCTTACCGAAGCCCCCTCCCCCACTAAGCCCCTCCCGAGCAACCGCTGCAGAGCACGTGGCCGCAGGGCGCCAGTACGATCACAGCCTCTCGGGTATTAGTGATGTGGGATTATCAGAAAAGCCATCGAAATACTGAGGGTCCTACATTGGGTCCTAGACCTTTGCATCGCGAACTCCCGAATGCTGTAATCTGATAAACGGGCCCGCCCACTGTTGAAAAGCCTGTCTGGCCTTGTGAGGATTCCCTGCCAGAAGCAAGGCTGCTACTACGACTACTCTGCGGCTGCGACTACTACGACTAAGACCAGGTTTACGACCACGTTTACCCCAAAACGACGACCACCACCACGACAACGACCACCATCACGACCACTGCCACTACCACTGCCACTGCCACTGCCACTGCCACTACCGCTACCGCTAGCGCTACCGCTACCACTACCACTACTACTCCTACTGCTGCTGCTGCTGCTGCTGCTACTACTACTACTACTACTCCTGCTCCTGCTACTGCTGCTGCTCCTGCTGCTGCTACTGCTACTGCTACTGCTACTGCCACTGCTGCTGCTACTACTCCCTGCTGCTGCTCCTGCTACTGCTGCTGCCACTGCTGCTGCTACTGCTGCTTCTACTGCTGCTACTGCTACTGCTACTGCTGCTTCTACTGCTGCTGCTGCTGCTACTGCTACTGCTACTGCTGCTGCTGCTGCTACTCCTGCGTGCTGCTCCTCCTACTACTGCTACTGAGAGTGCGACTGCGACTGGCACTGGCACTGGCAGGTATTGGCACTGGCGCTGCCACTGTCACTGCCACTGCAACTGCCACTGTCAATGCCACTACTGCCACTACTGCCGCTGCTGCTGCTGCTGCTGCTGCTGCTCCTGCTAATGCTACTGCTGCTATTGCTACTGCTACCGCTACTGCTACTGCCACTGCTGCTGTTGCTGCTACTGCTATTGCTACTGCGACGACGACGTCTCCGACTACGAATACGACCTTGTCTCCGACGACTACAACAGCAACCACAACTACTACGACGTCCACTAGTACTACCAGTATCACACTCACACTCATGCTGCAATATACAATAGGGACATCGCAAGCGACCTTTTCACGTGACAGTAGGTCTAGTTGTGGCAACCCTTCAGTCTAGCGAGGTTGGGCTCAGTGAACAAGCGAAGCAATCGTTGGGAGGACTTCGCCACGTATGTGCGGTGCCTGCTCCGTTTTTCAGCAAGGTTTTCTTGAGATCTCGTGGATAGACTACCAAAAACAATGGCCATGGGCTGCAAGCGGTGCTTCGTTGTCTCGGCTTCTTGTTGTTGCAGACCCTGGACATTTTTGGCAGTGGCCTGTGTGCTACCCTAAGCTTTCTTTTTGTTTGCTGGCATCTTATTAGAGCCTAGTCTCCGAGCTTCTAAACCCTAAACCCTGAACCCTAAAATCTAGAAGCCCTAAACCCGTCAACCCCAAACCTTGTACACACCAACTGATCTGAGGTAGAGATGCGGTCGCGGATATATAGAAAAATCGTTACAAGAACAAGCCGAATAAAGACCTAAGTACATAGATATTTACATAAGCAAATGCAGCAGTACACAAGTACATGACGAATATAACTTTGCAAATGACAAACCCACTAGTGAGTAAATAATACTCTTCTAAGTTCCCTAAGAAGCAGCCAGCAAATGCTCTCAACCCCCAAACCCGCACAACACCGTGGACAACCCTGCTATAGAACTCTTTATCCGAACCCTGTCTACAACCTGCATATAAACCCGACAAACAAAGACAATCCAGCACAGTCCCCGCTGCATGACATCAGCCAAAGGTACGTGAGCCAGGTCTTCAACCAGACAGACGCCTATCGAAGACTGCCCAGCGAATTCAGCCACGGAGCGCTGCTGAGCGACAACCGCCAGGACCGGCACCCGGGTCAAAAAGCGTTGCATTTAGGGTTTAGGGTTTAGGGTTTGCCGAGAGTTACAAGGATTGTGAGTTTTACTGGATTGCCGGACTCTTCTGTTAGGGGGCTTGTTGGATCAACGGACCTAAATCTCTCGAGATTGGGCGATGTAGGCTATTTCAGAACAATAAACACACGCCCATGCCACCGTCAGGACGATGTAGGAACAACCATGGAATTGAAGCTCGGAACCCTAAACCCCGGGAAGTCTCAGGAGCCCTAAACCATGAGCCCTTAAATCCCTACAAAACCCGAAACCCTAGACTTGCCCTAAGCCATAAGCCCTTAAATCCCTACACCTCAAACCCAAGCAGTCCCAGGAGTTCGAGCAGGAAGACCTCCTCCACACCCGGGCGGTGTCGGAGTGGTTGGCCTCTGCGCAGCCACCGCTCAACGCCTCGGACTTCTTCCACATCAAGGCCTTAGGTCCTTAGGTGTTTCGTTTTGTGAGTTGTTGTGGCGCTTTCGTTTAGGTTTGTTCGGTGTCATAGATTGTTTGTTGGGGAGTAACACAGGGTTCTGGCCAGGGGTGGGTTTAGGGCTTGTGTAAACCTTTGTAACGGGTTGCTTGTAGCTTTCTGGGAGCTTGCGGCTTGGGGGGCAGGGCTTTAAGGCTTCAGGGTCTGTTTCTCCGATAAAACCCTACATCCTCAGCTCCCACGACCCTATGGACCCTATAGACCCTATAGACCCTATAGACCCTAAAGACCCTATAGACTCTGAGCCCTGAAACCGTGCCCTGAAGTCCCAAGGACCGAGGCCCCGGAGGAGCTCTGTTCAAAACCCCGAAACCGCGAAAGCCCCTACAATTGAGGGTTCAGGGTTTAGCTGTAGAAACCCTTCTAGAACCCTTCTAGAAAGCCCGTATAAGGAACCCTGAAAGCCCCAAACTCCCATAGAGCCCTTCCAGTAGACTCTTCTAGAAACTCTTTAAGAAGGAGCCCCTAAGAAAAGAGCGTTCTTCAATCTTAAGCCAACTCTAGGGAGCCCCTGTTGAGGTGGAGGAGCTGGGCCGGGGGCTGGGGGAGCTCTCGCGTCGTCTCTGTGATAACATGAACTACTGCCAGCCGCTGCCGCGGATGCCCAAGGCTGAGGGCGTAAAAAGCTAAGGTTTGGGTCCTAAGTTTAGGGTTTAGGGTTCTAGTTATTAGGGTTTAGGGTTTTGGGCTTAGGGTTCTATGAGGGTTTAGGGTTTAGGGTTCAGGGTTGAAGGGTTCCTTGAAGGGTTTCGAGAAGAGTTTGCTAGAAGGGTTTGTTGTTGTACGGGGTTTTGGGGTTTAAGGGTTCCTCAACGGGTTCCTTGGAGAGTTACTAAACGGTTTCTACAAGCCTTTACTGTAGGGTCAGAGTTCTACAAAATCCTTTCGGGGTTTTGGGGCTTAGGGCGTCGGGATTAGAGTTGAAGGTTTGCGAGGGTTCAGGGTTTATAAACCCTGAACCCTACACTCTAAACCCCAAAGCCCAAAGCCGCCGAGCCTTGAACTGTAAGAAGGTTGAAGATAAAAGCCTTGAGCTTAGAGGTGTGCGGTCTATTTTGGTGTGCAGCGGGCCTCGAAGATGCCAGCTGAAACAGAAGGGGCCTATGGGGCTTAGGGTTTAGTAGGGTTTAGGGTTTGGGGTTTAGGGTTTAGGGTTTAGGGCCTTTGGTTTAGGGTTTAGGGTTAGGGTTTAAGGGTTTAGGGTTTAAAGCCTTCAAGGAACCCGCTCAAAGGAACCCTAAACCCTAAACCCGTATGGACCCCTTACGGAACCCGCTAAGGAGCCCTTAAACATTTCTCATACAAAAATAGACCTGTAATGTGCCTTAATAACATACCATAATGTATTATACTACTACCATATATACTACGTATATTATAGGATAGTATACTATGATATACGATCATATATCATACTGCAGTAGACTGTTCGGCAGATGTGTTTGCGCGACTTTTTTGCAGCTTCCCTCCATGTGCCGGAGCCTCGATGTTGCGAAGGTGAACTCCTTCTCCAAGCCCATCTCAGCGAGGTGGGGAGAAGGGGTGTTTAGGCCCCGAAATCCTCGGCGCTAACACCTTTCTTAGCCCTAAGCCCGAAACCCTAAACCCTAAAATCCTAAACCCCTAAACACCCCCTAAACCCTCAGCCCCTAAACCCCTAAACCCTAAAGCCCTAAGCCCCCAAACCCCTTATGGATCCCTTTAGGGATCCCTTTAAGGGAACCCTCGAACCCCTTACAGATCCCTTTAGGGGATCCCTCGAACCCATTTTTGATCCCTTTACGGGAATCCCCAGACCTCTCGAAGCCCTTATGGATCCTTTTAAGGGACCCTTTAGGGGAATCCCCCAGACCTGCAGGGTCTGGGCAAACTGCTGGCGCGGCGGGGCAGCTTTGCAGGCTCTCCCCGGCCGTCAGGGCCTGGAGTTTTCTGTAGAGGGCTTAGGGGTTTGGGTTTTGGGTTTAGGGTTTAGGGGTTTAGGGGTTTAGGGGTTTAGGGGTTTAGGGATTTGGGGGGGGGGGATTTTCAAATCTTTTCGGGCTTGGCGTTTAGGGACTGGTTTTGGGGGCATTACAACTTGGGGCTTGGCGTTCGAATCTTTTTTGACGAAGATTCTGGGCATTCTCAGGTTGGTAGATTCTACTATGTTATGCTATGAGATGCCAAAATTTACCATGATATACTACACTATATAGCACTAAAAGGTACCGAAATTCATTCTAACATGCTGTATTCTGTCTAGGGCCATCGGGCCAGAGTCGATGGGGCTTCCCTTTGACTCCCATGTCCGATGTTAAAGCCATAGCAGGTGAACCCAGGACCTCTGAACTTGAGTTTAAGGGTTAGGGTTTAGGGTTTAGGGCATTTAGGGGGCTCGCTTCATGTAGAGCCTCCTAAATGATTGCCAATGCTATCTTTGGTTTTCCTGATTATAGCTATCGTTTTTCCCATTGAGTTTGAGGGTTCGTGTCTACGGTTTTGGGTTATAGCTATCGTTTTTCCCATTGAGTTTGAGGGTTCGTGTCTACGGTTTGGGGTTATAGCTATCGTTTTTCCCATTGAGTTCGAGGGTTCGTGTCTACGGTTTGGGGTTTGGGATTTTGGGGTTGAGGGCCTACTGGCATTGGGGTTCTACGGTCGTAAGGGTTGTGGCCTTTACAGGGCTTTGTGCATGGTGGAATGACGTCTGAACCATAACCCATCCGCGCCTCAAACTACGGTTGATGATATAAATCCTGCATTACCTTAAAGACCCTAAACTATGGGAATGATGGTATATTCCTGATCATGGGGTCATTGCAGGATTTGTATCATCAACCGCAGAATTTCAGGGTTTAGGGTCTCCCACATCAAAGCCTCAGTGTTGAGCCGGAACTCTTCGGACATGGCTAAACCCTGAACCCTAAACCCTAGACCCTAAGCCCTAAGCCCCAAACCCTAGGCTACCTTTGTTCTGGGAATGCCCTCCTCCAAGGGTTTTTGTCAGGAGTCTCTCGTTGGACTTCAGCTTCCCTGATGTGATCCTCTTTTTCGTGGGCGGGGGGAGGTTTGGGATCTATAGGGCATGGGGTGCTTTTAGGGTTTAGGGTTTAGGGGTCTTAAAGACTTTGGGGGGTGGGGCTTGAAACTTGGTCGCGGGGGTGTTGTGGATCTAACGGCTCGATCTACAGCAAGCCTCGCAAGGCTTACCACCGGTACCGAGCCGACTTCCAGGACAGAAGGGCTTAGGCTGGTAGGTGGTGTTCGGGTTCAGGCCTGTCCCCAAACCCTGATTGCAGACCCCAAACGCCCGAAAAATGGAACCCCTAAACCCTCAAACCCTAAACCTCCTAACTTACTCTAAACCCCTCAGCCCTATAAAACGATCCTATAAACCACCCTACACCCACCGGCTTTACTTCATTCCGCAGGACCTTGGACTTGAAATATTTCTCTAAATTAGGGGTCCCTTCTTAGGTCCCCAATATAGTACGGGCACCTTTCTAAAAAAGGATCCTAAAAGGGGACCCTTACTTTAGACAACTACCCACTTACAGGCCTCAAAGTTCAAGAGAGGTAGCCCCAAACTCTCCTTGTGCTTTAGGGGCGAGGGCTATCAGGGTTAGTGTTGGGTTGTTAGGGTTATTAGGGTTATTAGGGTTATTGGGGTTGTTAGGGTTGTTAGGGTTGTTAGGGTTGTTAGGGTTATTGGGGGTATTAGGGTTTAGGGAATAATAGTTGTATATTAAGAAGCCATTCCTATCTATAACACCGATATAGTCTCAGTAGAAGAGGCTTGTTTGGCATTTCTTTGGAGGAGTCGACAGGGGCTTCAAGACTCAAGGAAGGGAGCAAGTCATGGTGATACTCCTTGTAACAAGCGTACCGCATTAGCATGGGTATTTGCATCAGTATGAGCATAAGTATTCGTACTAATGCTAGTTCTGTGACTATTGGCAGCACTAGTAGCAGCAGTAGCATTCGCTGTCGCAACAGTAGCAAACGTGACAGTGACTCAGAGCCTTTGGTTTTTGACGATCCAGAGTAAAGCCTTGCTCCCCAAAGCACGCACCCATGACCATCCGATGGGGTAGCGTGCAGAGGAGCTGGGCTACTCTCCCCACTCTTGGAACGCCCCCTCTGCGCGCAAGGGGAGAAAGGAGTTCAAAAGTTGCCGCGCGGGTTCGCAGGCGTTTGTACATCTCATCTCAAAGGGCTTGGTGAGTCAAGGGCCGAGAGCCCGACGATGGTGTGCTATGCCAGGGCAGCAGTGATTGTGATGGATGCCGGCTATTTCTCGCTCCTTGCTTTTTGTGTTCTTCCGCGAAAGCATCTGAATGGAACTCCTTTCAACATCAACAGTGTATGTGTGGAGAAACTGCCCTATTGATCGAGCGACGGCTACGGGTCTAGTCGTTGGCTTTAGCTTGATGGCTGCCAAAGTGGTGACGGTGGTGACGGTGGCAGTAGTAGTAGTAGTAGTAGTAATAATAGTAGTAGCAGCAGTTGTAAGCCACTGCTGCTACTACCGCCGCTGCTGCTACTGCTGTTGCTCCTCCTGTTGCTGCCTACCACCACCACTACTAGTAACCTTGACAAGTATGAGGCAGCCATCGTAACTTGAAGATGCATCCCATTCCCGAACATCTTGTCTGTCACAGGACATGACGTCTTTGATGGTGGTGATGCATGCTGGGCAAAACCGCCATGATGACAACATCAGTCGAAGTAGGAGGACGTGGAGTAACCAGCTACAGCACGGCAATTGTTGATGGAAAATCCGATGGAGCAGCCAAACATGTGTGAGTAGCAGCCCTAGCAGCTAGAAGCCAGAAGCGAAACCCGCTGGGTCAGGCAATCGTGGTCATGCTCGGCATCACCGCAAAGCCAAATCAAAATGAGTCAAAGGTGGATGTGGGAAGTACAAATAGCCCTCGTCCTCCCCAGGATCTCTCCCACAGCAGCAGGCCCTTACATGCCAGGCCTTCTGGCAAATGTGGAATACACCAGCAGTGGCTTCAGGCATACGGCCGGTAGACATCTCATACCATGAGTACTACCAGTTCCGCCAGAACACGGGGCGGCAGGGCCTCGCAAAGTTCCTAGTCCACCTTGAGCCCATGCATCTTCGCGCGTCTTGTTCTTGCATGTCGTAACCCGGTTGATGATATAAATCCTGCATTACCTGAAGGCCCCTAAACTATGGGAATTATGGTATATTCCTTATCATGGGGTAATTGCAGGATTTATATCATCAACCGTATGAGCACGCTTGATGCCATGGCGTCTCCATCCCGGGACCGTTCCAGACTCCTGGCTCACGTTTACATGCGCGGACCTTTAGTTGCTGAACCAAAGCCCTGGGTCCTTTTTAGCCCGCAAAGAGCGACCTCACTTCAGCCGATTTAAAGTATGCGTATGCTGTGAAAATTAAAGGGTCCTGTTGAGTAGCGATGGTACTGGTGGCAGTTGTGATGATGGTCGGCGCGATGGCGGTGATGATACCGAAAGGCACGGTGCGGATCCTTGTTACTGTACGACGAAGAAAGGGGTTGAAAGTTCAGAAGAACATGATGGTGAGCACGTTGCTCACTGTGACGACGATTGTCACGATACTTCCTGAGATTATGACGACGATCACGGCTAGTTTGGTTATGGCCAAAATCATGATGATCAGGTGATTGTGGGGAAAGGTCGGTGGTGGTGGTGGTGGCGGTGGTGGTGTGGTCGTCTTTGTCGTAGTAGCAGTATCAGCAATAGCAGTAAACAGTAAACGCAGTATTCGGACTACCACAGCTGTTTGGCACGGTCTTGGATCGACAAGAACCCCCCCTCAGAAACACGACTAAACCCTAAACCCTAAACACTAAACTCTAAAAACCCTAAGCCCTGAACCCTAAACCCTTAGCCCTCATTGGAAGGAATCATGGAAGGCCTTCGCTCCAAGATCCTTCCCCGAGGCAGCCGAAGCCTTGATCTTTCGGTGAGTCTTTGGGGGATGTCGGGTAGTCTGTCGGAAACTACTATAACTATGTTTTGTTATTTACTATTACCAAAAGTATTATTCTTCTTATTGCGACTATGATTATGATTATGATCATGGGTATTCCGATGATTCTTATTGCCGTTGTAATCATGACTATCTATGATCGTTGTTTCTGGTTACTAGTATTGTTAATATTGCTCTTATCCTTATGAACTTGGTGCCTGAGTGAGCTCTGGCTTAAACTTTCTTGCAGCCATTAGAATAGTGCAGAAGCCTGAAGCCTGAACAATTACTACCAGTACTTTTTAGGGTTCCTTACTACTCCGTAGGATTCCGTATTGCCCCTTTAAGGTTCCTTATTACTCCTTTGGATTCCTCATTACAATCATGGTATGTTATGCCACAACCCAAAGCCCTGTGAAACCTCTTGTTCAGTGATTTCGAAATCCATGCACCGTTTCCAAAGCACCCTTCATCCTAAACCCTTACAAACCGCGCAAAAGCCTTAAATCCCAAACCTTCAACCCATCCACTGTCGTCAGTAGGCTTTCCAAAAGGAACCCACCCAAACCCTGAACCCGGCCCTAAACACTAAACCCGCTCTTACGGCGCTTTGCCGTTAGATTGGGGGAGGCTCCGTAGCGCGCCAAAGGCGGCAGATGCCGGTCGATGGGGAGGCTGGCTGAGGGCTCGGTTTAGGGTTTAGGGGTGTGGTAACGTCATGGGCTCGCCGGTGTGCACACCGGGTGTACACCTTGCAGTTTGCCTCTCCCTCCCCCTGAAAGAATATGCTCTCAGGCCGAGGTTTCTTGTTTGCTTAGTGTTCGCATGTGCCCGTGTTGAGTTTCGCAGTGGCTTTCATGGGTATTGCTATGCATGAAGGCTCTGCAGGAGCGCCACTTTGATATTGATGTTGGCTCTGATTTTGCTTTTGCGTGTGTTCGGGGATGGTTTTCTGCCGAAGGCGCGAGTTTGATCCCCGCACCTTGATTCTCTGTCTCAGGGCATGCTGGTACACATGTTCAGATTTCTCCGCAAGGCTACCCCGACGTGAATTCATCGTGCACTAGGTGCGTCCCACTCGGACTCTAGACCTCCTGTCTTGTGAAAAGCCCCTATAATACGTTTATTCGTAATATAATATTCCCCCAACCGTATGGACGTTCTTCAAGCCCTCAAAAGCCCCAAAACCGTGGAAACCCTAAATCCTTTGTAGCAGTCCTAAAGGAACCGTAAATATGGGCCCCTAAAATTTCAGTTTAGTTGTAGTGTTAAGGCACAAAATCAAGTCAGCGACCTTGAACCTCCCAACCGCCGCCAAACCACTTATAGCGATACTGTAATATTCGACTATATTGCTTTTTGCAGCTCATGATACGAAAATATGCATGTCATATTGAAATGATACTATCATACAAAGAGTATACCCACCAAGCCCTCATAAGCACTTAGCCTCACTAAATCGATGGCCAGGAGCACTCCCTGACTGGAGAAGAGTTGGTTGAGAAGTTGCCATGCCTGTCTTGAGCATTCGAAGGGGCTTTAGGGCTGTTTGGGGCTTCGGGCTTAAGGGGTTTAGGTTGACGAGTGTAGGATTTTCATGAAACCGTGTGGTGCGCAGTATAGGGGTTTTTGGGTTACGTGACAAGAGAATTGGTTTCTGAAGTTTCAGCGTGCCTGCGGAGGCGCATCCGGAAAACTCCATGCTGTTGCGTTTCGGTGCATGATTTGCCCTTTACACAGTCCCGGTGCCCTTTCGCAGTGGCGGTGTCCTGATCTGTCGGTGGTCTCCTGGTTGTATGCAGGGGGTCGCTTGGCGGTCTCCTCTCTGATGGTCTCCATCGCGGTGATGTTCTAACCATCCCTCTTGGATCCATAACAGTTGCCACTGACGTTTTCGCACCCGCGCTGTGCAAACACGGGAACGAGCTGGTTCAGGTTCGCGCGAAAATCTGCGAGTTGCTCTCACAGGTTCTTGCAATACTAGTCCTATGAATCTGAATATTGCTCAGTACTCTCTCCAACACCATGATTCGGATCGTTAGGTTAAGTTACCGTGAGTCTTCAGAGTTTTAGAGCTTCCGGTCTTTTTGACGGCTAGCTTCTGGGTGGTGTAGAGATCGACAAGTGAGTCAGTGAAGGGATCTGGGAGTTGGAGTTTTCCGATTTACAGTTTAGGCTTTTTGGTGTTAGGTTGTCAGGGCTCCGAATTTCGACGTAGAGTTTAGGCAGAATAGTTTGGGATAGGCCAAGCCATTCGGGGCGCTCTGAGCGAAGCGAAACTACACGAATGAAGCGTGACATTCTGCTGAAAACAGTTGTATCATATGAGTCATATTGGCCATCCACGGTCGTGACCCCAACTGTACGTCAGGCGTGGCTTTCGTTAGCTAGTTGTCTATATGGCTTAGTGCAATCCGGTTATGACTTCACATGTATACCGATGTGGGGGGTTTCCGAAAATAGGGGACCCTAATATAGTAGCCTAAATAGTAGGATCCTTACTATAAGGAAAGTCCCATGTATACCCTAAACCCAATCGGCCCTTGTGACCTCGTAAAACCTCTCCAGGCTTCGAAAGATAGCGAGATTCGCTTCTTGCCAGCGTTACCTGCCATTCGTGCATGCAAGCAACTGTAGGAAGCATCGGCCAAAAAGCAGAAAATAGGCAAGTTCTCAGTCCCAAACCCAAGATCCAAAGCCTAAGCCCCAAACCCCCACACCCCCGGAGGCACAAAGCCCTAAACAGCCCCATTCCGAGCCGAAGCTGTTCCACTCGAGGCTGCGGCAATTGAAGCCACAGAAGAACGACATCTACGACCGTTATGATATCTTCCAGACCTACTGGACATTTGGGTTGAACGTATCGGGGAACACTTTTTCAGGCTCCTAAACGTCGCCATAACCCTTCACCACAGGCCTTCGACAGTGCCGTCATTGGGGTGCCAAAAGAGACCTGCATCATTAGACTATGGTCTTGGGTGGGTTGATACTCTACTTATGTCAAGTAGCCCGAAGGAAAGCTCATTAGTAATTATCGGATGGCTTGATCCTACATGTCCGTACAGGAACCCCATGGCAGAGTACCAGTAGTGATGCAAGCCCTAAACCCTAAACCCTAAATCCTATGCGCACCACAAGCTCTAA